TATGTGTGGCTTTTAAGATGCACAACTTGCAAATAATAATATCGTTTGTAACACGATATTGCCCACGACTTTTGGGATCAATATGGATAAGTCATTCAAATTACATAGCCCTCCCTTATGGGTCATTGAGTTGTGCGGACCATGGTCCATTAGCAAATTATTGTGTAGATCATGGTTCACATAGTGTTATATGGACCATAACAAAAGTACATTTAATATATTTAAAATACATTATTTGTGTACATACTGAATGTACATTATATAAAATAATGTACTTTTAGTACTCAAATAATATACTTTTCTTAAATACAACGTACATTTTTTAATATACAAAAGCACATTATTTGTATACTGAATATACATTATTTGATAATAATGATTGCCTTGCTGCCCACCACATCAAAAGAAGCTCTCACAATAGTAATACGACTAACAGAGCTTAATTTTATTCCTTATAATTATCACTGAAGAATTAGAGTTTAGTGGACTATGAATTTACTCTCAATTTTTACTCGCTCACAAATTCTTGATGTAGACATATTTTTTGGGACTCACATGATGAAAATAACCAATCTTTATTTGTCATGTTATGGAGTAAAAGTGATGACGTAGAATTTGAGAGTAAATATAATAGAATTCTTTAATTAAACATGTTAGTTTGTTACCATTTATTGAGACTTTAGTCACTGTCACAAACAATGATGTTTTGGCTCTATCGTAGGACAATTGTTGTCACTGTCCGAGACTCCAATGACTTGACTTGTCAAGTCGCCTCCATGTACGACGAAAAATGTCCTTTGGATAAAAAGTCATAAAAGACAAAGAAAATTCTAAGGGGGCGTTTGGTTTCGGTCATGTTTGATTACCTAGGTAATTTGACTCTGGTAATGTTATATTACATTGTTTGGTTCAAGTTATAAGATTACCTGGTAATGTTATACTACCTGAAAGCTTATGTGGCAGTAATGTTTGAAGGTAATGTGATTACCCCCATTTTCTTAGGTAATCTCATATTATCTTGAATTATTTCAACTTTACCCTTGTTAACTAATCCTTCTTCTTCTTCTTCTTCTTCTTCTTCTTCTTCTTCTTCTTCTTCTTCTTCTTCTTATCATCATCATCTTCTTCTTCTTCTTCTTCTTCTTATTATTATTATTATTATTATTATTATTATTATACAATAAAATATACATGTGTATATTTATATATTTAGTTTTCTAATATTTGAACATTGATATAGATTCATACATATAAACAAATAAAATAAATACGCTCACATACTATATATATATATATATATATATATATATATATATATATATATATATATATATATAGGGAAGGGTTCAGGTGCGGGTATAGCTTCCTGTGCGGTTGTGCGGTTAGATCTGAGCCGTTGATCAAATCTAGATCAACGGCTCAAATCAATGAAAATTTAAAAAAAAAAAAACGCGTGTCTGGAAGAAAGAAGCATAAACTAAAAATGGCGCACCTTAAGTGGTAGAAACACGCACCTTAAGTGCTAGATCTTAAGCACAAACTCACGCACATTAAGTACAAAATTCACGCACATTAAGCACCACCTCACGCACATTAAGCACAAAACCCACGCACTTTAAGTATTAACTCACAGACCTTAAGTTTCAACAACTATTGACATTAAGCACAAACTCACGCACATTAAGTACAAAACCCACGCACATTAAGCACAACCTCACGCACATTAAGCACAAAACTCACGCACTTTAAGTATTAACTCACAGACCTTAAGTATTAAGTCACCGTTACGTGTTATTAGGGTTATATGTATAACTTTAGGTTTGCAATTCAATTACGGTCCTCATAGTTGTGTGGAGTACGATTGAAAACAATGTTGCTTTGATATTAAAAAATTTATTATTCCGCGTGTGTGTTAGAATAATGAACATTTTGGAGGTAAGATAATATATTTTAAGAGTTAGAATAATGTACTTTATGTGTTAAAATAATAATGTTATAACAACGAAATTTATGGAATAAGATAATGTATTTTAAGAGTTAGAATAACGTACTTTATGTGTTAAAATAATGTATTTTATGAGTTAGAATAAGGTACAATATACTTTATGTATTAGAATAATAAAATTTCTTAGATAAGATAATATATTTTATGAATTAGAGTACTATATATATACTTTTTGTGTTAGAAATTAGAATAATGTACTTGTGGTCCAATTGCACTAAATTGTTTCCTCATATGAGAGGTTGTAGGTTCAAATTCCAATAAAAGTGCCATATTGACTTTTTGTGCTTAGTATTTCCAGTTTTCAAAATGAAAAATTTCAAAATGAAAAATTGTGTTAATAAACACGATTTCTATTCTCCAAAAAATTGGATAAAATTTTCAGTTAGTGTAGGGGACGGGGTGTTTTGGTTGAATTGTATTCCCATGAGAGGGCGCTGGGCATTACATATACAGTAGTTGGAAATGAAGAAGTTACAAATCCAACACAAACCAATCTTTTGTTATCCGATCCTTTGTCCAACAAGCTAAGACAACATGAACTTCTTCATCGTACTACTACTACTACTACTTGTGTTGTCCGCAGTACTAGGTTGTTCATCTAAAACTACTACTACTTATCCCATAGCTCAACCCACCTGCAAAGATCATTGTGGGAACGTAAGCATCCCATTTCCCTTCGGTTTAACCGAAGATTGTTATCTAAACCCAGACTTCTTCATCAATTGCACCAATTCCACCAATGGTTCTCCCAAGCCATATTTAGGATCCGGTAATGATGCAGAGTTAGAAAGCATATCCATTGAAGGGCAGTTGAGCGTTTTCCAGGGCATAGCTCGAAAATGCCATAAAGGTGACGAAATATCGGCAAATTCATGGATGAATTTATCGGCATTCTTCGTCAACCAGACCGCCAACAAGTTCGTCGCCGTGGGTTGCAACACCATTGCCACTATCACCGGCGTCGAGGCTGGGCTGTCTTACGAAACAGGTATGAAGGAGTAGCATCTGTATATATTTTATTCCTTTATTCTGTTCATTTAGGACCTTTTTTGGTAAAATAATCAGTCTATAGGCTAATTTTGACTGTTGACCAATGCTAATTGTTTGATTTGGTTAAAAAATCATTAGAAGTGTTTGGTTAATTAACTTTTTGTATCTTAAAATGTTAAAATTCAAAAAGCTGCTCAAAACAACTTTTTTCAATTAGCTTTTTGAGAAAAGAAATTATACCAAACAACTATCAGCTAACAGTTAATTTACCAAACACATTTCTACAATCTACTAAAGTTATCAACTAGTTATACCCTCTAATTAACCCAATCAGCTAACAGCTATCAGTTATCAGCTAACAACAATTTTACCAAACATGGCCTTAGTCTAGTTTGTTATACTTTGATGAGAAAATTTAAATTTATGCCCCTCCATAATATGTCAATTATCAATGTCACCCCTGAATTATTAGTGGTGTAAATGTTGCCCTCAATTTTCAAAATGATACATACATTGCCCCTCCCGTACCGTATAGGAGAGGCCATATATGTATGAAAAATGAAGGACAACATTTACACTACAGGAGGGCACTAATATGATATTTTCCTTTGTTTTGATCAGAGTTGTTAGTATTTTTCCTATTTAAACCATGTATTGTACTCTGCTTTAGCATGAATCAATATATATTCTTTCCATTCTAGTATGGTATCAGAGCCTAACTTATACAGGATTTTTTTTTTCTATGGCTGTTTCAGGTTGTATAGCCTCCTGTAACTGCTTCAAAGACGTGGTTAATGGGAGTTGCTCGGGGATTGGGTGTTGCCAGACCACCGACATTCCTATCCTGGCCAGCAACGTTAATTTTACGTTGAAAACCATCACGGAGAATCGGAACACCCATGGTGTTGTTAACTGCAGCTACGCCTTCGTGGTGAAAAAGGGCGAGTTCAACTTTTCCTCGGAGATGCTTACCGAAAAATGGGAAATTCAAAAGGTGCCATTGGTAATTGACTGGATGGTCTCCTCCATGGATAAATGCAGTGATAGCAGTAGCGTATGCAAAGGTAATACCACCTGTGAAGAATATTCCGGCCCTCATGGTGGTGGATCTCACGGTGGTGGATCTCATGGTGGTGGATCTCACGGTGGTGGATACCGATGCGCTTGTAAGAAGGGTTACCAAGGTAATCCATATCTTCTTCCCGGTTGTCTAGGTACGTATTGTCCGCCTTACTTTATAAAGTTCAATTACACGTACTTTCAATTATTTTACTCATAAAAGCGACGGGCTGATAAGATTTTTTTTTTTTTTTTTTTTTTTTTTTTTTTTGGTCTAAATCAAGACTTTGAGTGTAAGATTAAAAGTTGGTAAGAATGAAAGTACACATTATTTTCACACTTTATAGCTCTATTTAGTAGAGTTTATTTAAGAGTTTATAGCGCTCTTAAAATAACTTATAAATTTTGTTTGATAAAACATAAAATCTTAAAATAATACTCCGTATCTTTTAATTTTTTTCCCTTTTTTTTTTTTTTTTATCTTTATTAATTTACAAAGATTTTTCTTGTGTATCATCTGCATTCTGTATACACACTAGAGATGCAAGTGGCACTTGTGTCTCAGATTATTTTTACAAAAAAAAAAAAAAACATTTTAAAGATTTTTCAAGAAACTCATTTGGAGATTCATTTTTGACAAGAAACGCATTTTCTAAATGAGTTTTTCTCGAAATTGTACATTTTTTGAAAACATTCCTATTTTTGTCATTCACTCTTATATTCTTCCTATTTCAACCATTCGAATATTACTGCGTGAACTGTGGTCCACATAGTTGTGTGGACCACGATCCAAAAACACATAAAGTACATTATTCTAATTCATAAAATGCATTATTCTAACACATAAAGTACATTATTCTAACTCATAAAGTACATTATCTTACCCTAAAAATTTTATTCTAACACATAAAATACATTATCTTATTTTAGAAGATTCATCATTCTAACACATAAGTGTTCACCAAATTTTTTTTTTTTTTTAACGTCAAAAAGACATCGTTTTAGACTGTGGACCACGTACATAATAATTTATTGTAAAAGTTGTGAGTAGAAAATGAAAATTCACATAATATTTTTTTTTAATTTTTAGGGGTGAATAGCATTACTCTTTGATAGATTACCCACTTGTTAAATGTAATTAGTGACTTGCACAAATAAATATAATATATTTAATTTAATGACATATTTGTAACTTTATCCTTACTTTTTTTTGAAAGGTATTCCTTACTTAAAGGCAATTTATATTTTGCACCAGGGCGCACATTGCATTTTGCGCCCTGATGCAAAACGACGTCGTTTCACATAATTGTATAAAAAAATACACATAATTGTATAATATAAACAAATATATATAATTGTATAAATAAATACACATAACTATATAAAAAAATACACATAATTGTATGAACAAATACACATGATCACGTCAACTCTCTATCGCGCCTCTCAAAACGACGTCGTTTTGGGAGGCACGGGGCGCACAATGCTATGTGCGCCGTGGTGTAGGGTATAACAATTGCTTACTTAATTACTTTGCTTTTTCGAAAAAGTTTAATTTGAATCCCCAATCACGGCTCAACATGGTAACTCAGTGACTCAACAAATATGGTTAAATGTCATTTTAGACATAATTCCCATATTATCCATGTCAAGTTTCAAAAGTTATTCTTTTATTACAAATACTGCCTATTGAATTAGTGAGTTAAGTCCAAGCAACACTTAAATACTTAGCTTTATTGCTTATTGGCTGTACAGATATTGATGAATGTGCAAATGGACAAAACACCTGCTCCAAAAACGCCATTTGCTTGAATACACCAGGCAATTACACGTGCCCTTGCAAAAAAGGTTTCCAAGAAGATGGTAAAGGTGGCTGCCAATTACCTGTTAAAGATGAATGCAAAGATAATGGAAAAGGATGCCATTCATCCAACAGAGTGAACTTGATTGCTTTGAGTAAGCATCGTTTCCCATTTAACAACACATCATGTGAAATATACAACCATCAAAACTTGTTCAAGTGATTAAGAAATGTTAATTGCAGGTGCCGCTTTAGGTACTATAGTGCTGCTGGTTATTTGTTTTTCTGTGAACTTGGGATATCGACAGAGGAAATCAGTACAGATGAGAGAGAAGTTTTTTAGGGATAATGGAGGAATGATTCTGCAACAAAGGATTGCGCAAGGTGGTGCATCCTCTGGCACAACAAGAATTTTCACTGCCGAAGAGCTTAAAAAAGCCACCAACAACTATGACCAAACTAGAATCATTGGTCAAGGAGGTTTTGGTATTGTCTACAAAGGGCACCTTCTTGACAACCGAATAGTAGCTGTTAAAAAGGCCAAGATGATGGACCCAACCCAAGTCGAGCAGTTTATCAATGAGGTAATTGTGCTTTCCCAAATCAATCACAGAAACATTGTCAAACTTTTTGGTTGCTGTTTAGAGACAGAAATTCCGTTGTTGGTTTATGAGTTCATAAGCAACGGGACATTGTCGGAGCATCTGCACAACAAAGGCAAGGCATCGGCAATTTCTTGGTCGACCCGTTTAAAAATAGCAACAGAAACAGCTGAGGTCCTCTCGTATTTGCACTCTGCAGCCTCTCCTCCCATCATTCATAGAGACGTTAAATCTGTAAATATTCTCCTTGATGATGACTACACTGCCAGGGTATCAGATTTTGGTGCATCGAGATTAGTCCCTCAAGATCAAACTCAATTAACAACAATGGTTCAAGGAACATTTGGTTATCTCGATCCTGAGTACTTACAAACCAACCACTTAACAGAAAAGAGCGATGTCTATAGCTTTGGAGTTGTCCTTATAGAGTTACTAACGAGTAGAAGGGCTCTATCTTTTGAAGGTCCAGAAAAAGAGAGACATCTATCTCAGTATTTCCTTTCATTGTTGAAAGAGAATCAGTTGTTCGAGATTCTTGATGACAACATTGTATGTGAGAGAAACACTGAAGAGCTACAAGAGGTTGCATTGCTTGCCAAAAGGTGTTTGAATGTCAAGGGGGAGGATAGGCCAACAATGAAGGAAGTTGCTGTGGAACTAAGTGGATTGAGGAGAGCAGCAAAACATCCATGGACCAATAACTTTGAGACTTCAATTGAATCAGAGGCTCTACTTACTGAGCAACCAATCCCCTTTGAATATGATGCTACTTTCAGCATAGCAACAACTGAATATGATAGTTTAAAACATCATATGGAGCTTCCAGAAGCTGCCGGAAGATAATTACATCCAATTTATCTCAGCAAATTAGCTATCCCCAATCCCATCTACAAATAATATAAATAATGATCTGTTTATAGTATTCCTTGTGATAAAAAAAATTAAAATAGTTACTGTATTTCGAATGAAATTATGTTGTATTTTCTTTAGTTGAATTTAATCATTTTAAATTATATTATATTTTTTGTCATTTAAATTTTTTCAGTAAAAATGTATAAAATCCACAGTTCCATTAATCTATATACAGTGGGTCGATCACCTTTCAAATGAAAGTCTTAGTCTACGCTCTATTAGTGATTTATTGTTTGGTTATAAAGTATGGTGTACTACGTTTACTTAGTCAACATTATTGATATATGTCCTTTTGCATGGTGTTTAAATCAATAACAATTTTTTTGAAACAGATAAATTTGTCATGATCATCTATTCATCTAATAAGTTAGATTCTCGTAACGTAGACTTTGACCTTATAGTGGTAATTTATACAAATACTGTTGGAATATGTGGCTCTCAAATCATGCATTTTGACCATTCGCCTCCCATCCACGTTGCATGCTAGCTTAATCCCATTATCCTCTGCACGTGCTCCCACGTCATGCCGCAATGGTCTCCCTCTTGCACATTTATCTCCTTTAATTTAGTATAAATAGCTAGCTTAGGTTTGTAATTCATTGCATCAGTTTGAATTCATTCATTAGCAATTCGTTTTGCTTTCTTTAATTTCTCTCGTCACGTAGAGTGTATATATATATATATATATATATATATATATATATATATATATATATATATACATTTTTCCTTTATTCTCTTTTAGAGATTAATATATATATTTTATAATCTCCCAAATTAGCAATTGCATTATTCTGTCATTTATATATTTTTTTTATCATTTAACTTCTATAATTCTCAATTTTTCGATTCGTCGCTTCCGCATTATTCCGTTATATTCCTAACAAGTGGTATCAGAGCCAGATTTATTTGAGAGTTATTTTCAAAGATGTCAACTTGTACCAAGTTCGATATCGAAAAGTTCAACGGGAAAATTAGCTTTTCTATCTGGAAGGTTCAGATGGAAGCCGTTCTAACCTAGAACGCTTTGAAGAAAGCTCTAGCTGGGAAGAAGAAGAAACAAGCTACAATGACAGATGAAACCTGAGAAGATTTGGATGACAAGACACGTTCAACCATTCTTTTGTGCCTGTCTAAAGAGGTTCTACGTGAGGTAGTAAGTGAGACGACTGCGTCAGATTTGTGGTCCAAGCTGGATACGCTTTACATGGCCAAAACTCTGGCGAACACGCTACGCCTGAAGGAGTGTCTGTACACAATCCGTATGACGGAAGGTATTTCTATTAAATCTCACTTGGATGAATTCAATTCTATTTATTGGACTTGGAAAATATTGATGTCATAATTGACGATGAGGATCGTGCTATTTTATTGCTTGTCTCTGTCCCTAAATCATACAAGCATTTCAAAGAAATTATGCTGTATGGTAATAGTAGTGATACCCTTACTTTCGACAATGTTAAGTCAAACCTATTATCCAAGAAAAGTTTGACTTTGAAATTAAGTCTGAGGACAAAGGTGAAGGTTTGACCGTAATTAGGGGTCGTTCACTTGAATCAGGGAGTAGCAATAAAAATTCTAGATCCAAGTCCAAATGACGTAAGTCCAACAAATCATGTAAGTACTACAAGAAGCATGATCATGATGTGACTGAATGCTTCAAGTTGAAAAACAAGCAAGAGAGAGAAAAGAAGTCCGTTGAAGCTACTGTTGTTGAAAGTGATTCAGAAGGCGATGTTATGTTATCTGTTAGCTCTGGTTGCAAACGGAGTGAAACCGAGTGGATTCTGGACTCTGGTTGTACATTCCACATGTGCCCTTACAAAGACTGGTTCGTTTCTCTAGAACCGGTTCATGGTGAAGTTGTCGTGCTGGGTAATGATACCCAATGCAAGGTTAATGGAATTGGAAGTGTTCATATTAAAACTCATGATAACATTGTCAGGACTCTTACCAATGTTCGGTATAATCCTGATTTGAAACGCAATCTGATATCCTTAGGTACTTTGGAATCTCTGGGGTGCAAGTACATAGCTGAAGGTGGAGTTTTGAAATTCATAAAAGGCTCTCAGGTTCTCATGAAAGCTTCTCGTTCTGGAAGCTTGTACGTCTTGCATGGCAGTACTGTGACAGGTTCAAGAGCGGTATCCTCATCGATATCTGTTGCGGATCTCACTCAATTATGGCATATGCGCCTGGGGCATATGAGTGAGAAAGGCATGCACCTCCTGAGCAAGAAATGCCTCCTTGGTGGTTTAGGTACGAGTAAATTATAGTTTTGTGAGCATTGTGTTTTTGGGAAACAAAAGAGGGTTACTTTCTCTATTGCTACACACCGTACCAAATATGTATTGGAATACATACATTCTGATTTATGGGGACCAACTAAATTCCAGTCTACGGGAGGTTGTAGATATTTTATGTCTATTATTGATGACTTTTCTCGTAAAGTCTGGGTCTATTTCCTGAAACATAAAAATCAGGCATTTTCTATTTTCAAGAAGTGGAAAATACTTGTTGAGACTCAGACAGGTAAAAAAGTCAAGAAGCTCATGACAGACAATGACTTGGAGTTCTGTGAGTCAGATTTCAATGACTTTTTGTGCGGCAAATGGAATCGCCAGGCACAAGACCTTGCCTGGTAAACCCCAGCAGAATGGTGTTGCCAAACGTTTGAACAGAACTCTATTGGAAAGAGCTCGTTGTATGCTCTTTAATGTTGGGTTATGGAAACGGCGTGATTTTTGGGCCGAGGCCGTTTCTACTTCTTGCTATTTGGTAAATAGATCTCCACATTCATCCCTTGATTTCAAAATTCCAGAGGAAGTTTGGTCAGGTAATCCTATTGATTACTCTATCTTAAGAGTTTTTGGATGTCCTGCTTATGCTCATTCCAGTACGAGTAAATTAAACCCTCGAGCTGTCAAATGCATTTTCCTTGGTTATGCTTCTGAATCAAAAAAGGGTATCGTCTATGGTCTCCTGATTCTCAGATAATCATTCTGAGTCGAGATATCAGTTTTGATGAAAATGCACTACTTTCTTCTGGAAAAGTTCCCAGTACAGTTGAGACGCAGAGTACTGGTGAGAAGGTAGAGTTTGAATTCAGGCCTATTGATAGTATTACTACAACTGATGGTAATACTAAAGATGATGCATCTACTAGCACAGCACCTCTCGTCGAGCCACAACAAGAGTATTTCATTGCTATGGATCATCCTAGGATGACAATTAAAAAACATGCTAGGTATGCTAGTGATGGTGAAACCAACTTGGTTGCTTATGCTCTTTCAGTCGCATAGGAGGTTGATGGTGATCCATCCTGCTATTCTGAGGCTCTTCCTATTGCTAAGTTCAAGCAGTGCTTGAGTTTAGTCGGCTATTCCACTTGTTAATTCCCATAATAAATTTGATCCAAGGTAGAGATTGTTGGAATATGTGGCTTAAATCATGCATTTTGACCACTCGCCTCCCATCCACGTTGCATGCTAGCTTAATATGATTATCCTCTGCACGTGCTCACACGTCATGCCGCAGTGGTCTCCCTCATGCACATTTATCTCCTTTAATTTAGTATAAATAGCTAGCTTAGGTTTGTAATTCATTGCATCAGTTTGAATTCATTCATTAGCAATTCATTTTGCTTTCTTTAATTTCTCTCCTCACGTAGAGTTTATATATATATATATATATATATATATATATATATATATATATATATATATATGCTCCAGATCCCATGAGGTCACATAGTTAGATGAGTTTATGAGATCTAATCATATCCATTAGATCAATGAATATTTAAGGGTGAGATTGAGTTAGAATTTGTATGCATTTTAGGTAGTAGTATAGGCATAAGGGTGAATAAGTAATTGTAATAGAATAAGTATTTATTTATGGATACAAATAAAATGGAATATATTCCGTGATTAGCATCCGATTTTGGGATTGTATTATTTATTTACGGTAATATATTAGTATTGATATTGTGATGATTCCTGAACGCAAGCAATCACCAAACAGTGTAAAGGAGCAGCAATTGTTTCTCTACAACGGGCTCAAAGATGGTGCTGCCGGACATAGGTATGTGAATCTTTTTTTTTCTGTAAGCAGGTATGTGCATCATTAGTTGAAGTATTATTGGCTTCTCGTATGGTGTGCATATATCACGATGAGTCTGTGCGTCGAGACACCTATTGTTTTACAGGCGTGACAGGTTTTTTTTTTCTTTATTGTCGTTGTTTTTTTTTTTTTTTTGTTGAGTATCCCCGTAGTGTAGATCATAAGATGGTATGTGCAATATGAAACGAAGGGGTGTGCAAATGTCATTTGTTATTTTCAATAAGGTGGTGAGTAAAAAGTTATTTATGATGTGTTTTGTTTTCTTAGCATTATTTGGGTGGAGTGTGTACATATGTTATTTGGAGATACCAAGTCGAACACATTTACAAATTAGAACATATATGGTATGTGTTGAGTGTGGGATAGTTGTTTTGTTTGTGCAATGTTGTTTTCATTCCTCAGTATATCAAAATTCCATCATCACTGATGGTGCGGACGCGTTGGATTATTCATGTATTTGTGTGGTTTTTAAAAAATGCTTCATGGGTAGTGTAATTTATATTCACAGACTGTGCATTATTGGGTTTAAGCATGTGCCAGGTGAACGTTGGGTTTGTGCACTGGAATATAATGAGCACGTGCAACGAAATAAGAACCCATACACAGATTAATTATTTTGATGATAAAAAGATGATTCGTGGTTTACTGAGAATACGTTATTGAAAAATATGTTACAAGTATGTGCATTGTTGACGCCCTCGATGCAAACGAAACAGAAAGGGATTGCAGAATGGATATTAGTCCGGGAGGTACGAAATATTGGTATACGGAATGTGACCGTAGCCTCAAACCATATGAAGGTCAAATGTTTAATACGGTGGAAGATGGAGTCCAATTTTATACAAAGTATGCCGCAACTACTGGATTTGATGTGCGTCGAAGTTCGGATAAAAAGAACAATTTCTGTATTGTTCTGAAAAAGGATGTAGTGTGTTCGCGGCAAGGGTTTAAGGATATTAGGGTCAAATAAACTTTGGCTGAAGGAGCGTGTTCGGAGAAGAAGCGACGGTGGACCACAAATAGGGTTGGTTGCGGAGCTAGGATTGTAATGAAGATAGTTTGCGACGGGAGATATAAGGTTCACAAATTTGAAGAAAGACATACACACTGTCTGTGCCAGGAAAGTCACAAACCATTTCTGAAAGTGAATCGCAAATTAGAGATTGCACACCAAGAATTCATTACTAATTGCGAAAAAGCAAACGTTGGTGCAAGCAAAAGTTACGACATATATGCTGAGATAGTAGGTGGTCCGGAGAACGTGGGTGCGATGCAACAAGACTTTAAGAATTACAGGAGGGAGCTATTAGCGTACATGAAGTGGGGAGATGTGCAAATGGTTATATCAAACTATCTTGAGCATAAAACAGATTGTGCTGATATGTACTTCGAATACGAGGTGAACGCAAATGATCAATTAGCTCGTGTCTTCTGGGCGGATGGTATGGCAAGGAAAAACTACGGTGCGTTTGGCGACGTGGTATCCTTTGATTCAACGTACAAAACAAATAGGTATGAGAGAGATAATTTAAATAGATGGGCATGTTAATTTAAATTTATGGGGAAGGATGAGGTTATCTTTGGGTAACGACGTATACAGGAATTAGAGAGTATGATGTGCATGATAAGCAGGACTATGCGGGTGTGTAAGTTAGTCCTTGACTCGCACAGTGCGTGTATGTTTGCGTAACTACGTATAATGTAATTAAAGGGCAGTGTTTGCATATGTTGGAGGTATGTGCGTGTGTGTATATATCATGTGCAAGCTGTATAGTAGGTCTGTGCGTGTGTTGAATTGTTTGCGCATGATATATTTCGGCCAATATGTGACAGCCTATTAATTGCTATGTATTGTGTTCAGGTACCACCTTGTGTTTGTCCCATTCACAGGAGTAGACAACCACAAGAGATGTGTGACGTTTGCAGCGACCCTGATCGATAAGAAAGACGTGGAGTCGTACAGTTGGGTATTAAAACACCTCAAGAACGTAATGGGGACTGCACCACCTTTAATAATAACCGATCAAGACCCAGCTATGAAAATTGCAATCGCAAGTGTGTTTGGAGATAGTAGACATCGTTACTATATGTGGCACATAATGACTAAGGTTAGCGAGAAAGTGGGGGCTGAGATGTCAAAGAATAATGAGTTCCGCCAGGCATTGAATAGTGTCGTGTGGAATGAGCAATCAACGAGAACAGAATTCGAGATTGGGTGGGAAACAGTAATTGGGAAATACAACCTACATGAAAACCGATGGCTAACACGTATGTACGAGGAGCGTGCGTCATGGGTGCCCGCATTTTTTGATGATGTGTTCATGGGTGGTCTACTACGTACCACTTCCCGTTCCGAGGCAGAGAATAGGATTTTCCAAGGTAACATGAACAAGCACTTATGCCTAGTAGAATTTTTCACCTGTTTCGAGCGTACGGTGAGAAAACAACGAAAGAACAACCTAGAACTAAGCGCAAATTCCATCGGACATACACCAGATTTTAAGACACCACTACACATTGAGCGATCAGCAGCAACAGTGTACACGTTGACTATTTTTTATGAGGTCCAAAAGGAAATAAGTGCAGGGTGTTTTAAATGTCGAGTACGAGCATTCACTGAGGCAGAAGGGTTAAAGACATATGTGGTTGAGGATGAAAACGAGCAACAATACACAGTTATAGTGCAAGATGGGAGCAACATAGCATGCACATGCAGAATGTACGCAAGAGTTGATCTCCTATGTAGCCATGTTTTTGTCGTACTCAAAGATGAACGCATCGATGACATTCCCCCTCAACATATCACACCCCGATGGACACGAGAAGCTGTCAAGCACTCCCCCACTGATCGGGACGCAGATAAACAGAATGGTAACAAGACTTTGGGGCATAGCAACAATGAAGAAAGACAACTATTGAATATATTTCATAGATGTTTGGGCAAGGCTAAAGGAAGACCCCAAAAAATGCAGGAGATGAGACTGTGCATGGAAGAGTTTGAAGTAACATTCGGGGAGGACGAAGAACCTGAGGTGAATGCAAGTGGGAAGCGTGCAATAATGGAGTCGTATTGCGGTGTCGTAAACCCAAAGACGATTGAAGTTCATCCACCCCCCCGTTGCAAAAACCAAAGGGTCTGGCAAACGAATGAAATCAGCAAGGGAGGCGGCAATGGCGGAGCATTATAAGAAAAAACGCACATGCAAAACATGTGGAGTGGCTGATGGCGATAATAGCCAAAGCTGCCCACGGAAGTAGTTAAACCATTAGTCTGTTTTTAATTATTAAATATAAGTACAAACATCTGAATAATGAGTGTTTTTTGAAATTCTAATGTTATTGAATGATATGGGCAGCTGATTTGCAAATACACTGGTGGCTGTGTGCATTGCGCGGTTAGAGTAAGTAATTTCACTTGGTATATGCATGAATTTGTGATTCCATTCGCATTGATACTAAGAAAGGCTCTTGGGTGGTAAAAAACCCGTATTTAAAACAGAATTTGTTTAAAGTGTAATTAACTTTGAACATAATACACCCTCAGATTTCGAAGAACAACGGAAATGGATCGTTTATAATTGTTTTGATTGTGCCTAACCAAGCGCGAGAACCCGTTATAGTTGTAGTATGAGCACCGATACAAACATGCACTAGCAGTGTTTAAAAAAAGGGTATAAAAAATAAAACTAATAAACCACATGAATTCGACTAAATTAGACAACGAAATGTGCGAATAGATTAGGGAAATACTAAGGAATTAAAGTATAAATGATTAGCGAATTCAAAAAATTTAAACTAGAGAGGCCGGAAACATTGTTAGTGTTAGGTAGCATGTGCAAGTGATTGTTTTAGTTGCCGCACCACCATTCGTATACCATGTAAGGCCCAAAAAAACCAAAATGCGGTATAAAAAATCGGAAAAAAAAAAAAGCTTTTGCTAACAATAACAAGTGCAAATGGACCCTTTGTATTGAGTACCCAGAAACGTGCATGTTTAATTGAACATGTTTTGTATCTTATAAGTGTGTGTTGGCAACCGCGTGCGGGTTAGTGTTAGTTTCGTAGCAAACATGGGGATCGATGTTAAATTTAAAATATAACACGAATTGGTGAACCTTTGAATGAAAAGTTTATAAATCTTTAGGTTGTGTCTAACCAAGCGCGAGAACCCATTATAGTTGTAGCATGAACACCGATACGGACATGCACTAGCAGTGTTTTAAAATGCAATATATAAAAGAAAAATAATAAACGACGTGAATCCGACAGAATAAGACAACGGAACGTTTGATTAGATAAGGTAAATACTTACGTGTTACGGACTAAATGACTAGCGTACACAAAAAAAGTGTAAGTAAAAAGAAATGAAACATAGGGAGTGTTTGATAGCGTGTGCAAGTAAATGTTATAGTCTGAGCATAAGCTTTCGCACAAAATGTACTCGCAATAATACCAAATGTCATACTAAAAATGTAATTAATAAAGTTTTTGCAGACGGTAACGTACAACTGTGTATATGGACTCGTTGAATTGATTAAAAAGTAACGTGGATGTTTAAGCGAACATGTTATTAAATTTGTAAGTGTAAGTTGGCCAGTGCGTGCGAGTTAATGTTAGATTCGTAGCAAACGTGATGATAGACCATAAACACATACGTAGATTCAAAGTTTCAATGATATTTTATGTGCAACTTCGAATACTGATCCGTGCAGACATGTGATTGGTGGTAGGGATTATGTTTAATTGCAATTAGTTGTGTAACTTGTTACAAAGCGGTTGATGCACTACTAATGAAATCAGAATCAGGCATGAATAGTAGACTACACGAACACCATAAGCAACGAAATACCGTACTAACCGAAATAGATAGCTAATTATTGAAAAACGGTTGAGTAATGTTAGAGCACTCAGCAAAATATCCAACTATTTAAGAAATCCCAAAACTTAAAAGTACGAAAAAAATGTAGATGCGATAAACAACTGCCAGTCATACGTTTTCCATTCACCACCTTTAAGTCACTGAGCACCAGCAACACTGTTGACAATCGTTTTGCGACGCGTATTTCTATGAAACATAAGAATTTCATAGACATACCGCACACGGAGGGAGAGCAACGCTTGTGCGTCACCCCGGCTAAGACCGCAATCCCAGGAAGCAACAGGCTGACCAATGTACGTCTCCATATGACGCATGGCAAAAACACCACAATCCACCTTATTTTTTGTATCACGCCATGACATCCGGACTCTCCTTGGGATTAGTTGCAACACCTTTACGTAAAGTTCCGGGTAACTAGCATCCTCAAAGAAGACCGATAGAACATCTCTCTGTAAAAAGTAAAAAAATGATCAAAACGACAAATGAATACAGTGATGACTATAATATTAAGATGCGCCATTTGTTTAAAAGTAAAACACTAACAAAGAATAAGGAAAAAAAATACCAACACAGAAGGGGTATCCCCGTACTTGTCAAGAGATACCCCATCAGCAGATGATTTATCGATGAAATCAAATTTCTGGCGCCGAACGTCAACAGCAACGACGTAATAATGCGACTTATCTATTATCGGAAAGATCAACTGCGAAAAAACGTGTAGCGTATGCACCAAAATTAAAAAAAAAAGAATCCACTGACCACAAGACAAATGGGCACATATAGAGAAAATCTGTAATGCAAAATACAGAATGGATTAGACCGTGCACTAACCATGTCAATATCCGACCATAACTCATATGGTGACACCTGCAAATCGGCCTCTAACGTAGCAGAAAACAAACGCAACCGGTTAGACCATGTGGCCGTACTTTGAAACACCGAGTACAACTGCACGACAAAAAAATATTAGTATCGAACTGAAACGGTTTCTCCGAGGAAAAGAGAAGACCATTAAGCGGGGGATGGGCTAACCGTTGTGGTTGGGGATGCAAATAACCGCTTTGGTGCACCAACCGGTTTGGACCTCTCACGGGCATTCAAAATGCACGACCAAGCACTCAACACACCCCCAAGCACTTGGTTCCCTCCCAACAATGACACAAAGTCGAACCGGCGAGCAGAACGGCCACAGTAGTTAAATAATTCTGCCGTCCTGTAACATTATAAGCAATAAATTCAAAAACATAATACGTCGAAACCCCGAAAGACCAACTGTAATAAAGCGAAAATTCTTACAAGTCAACATTAGCCGTACGAGCAACCCAATCATAGACCGCTTGAGGATCAACGTTATTGGGAACTTGCATATTGGCAGCGCGAGTACGCGTGAGGGGCGCATAAGAATTGAAATCGATGGTGCGCAACGCACCGACATCCTGCACTACAGGACGTGAAGCCTTTATTGGTGCTGCACGCATTGACGGACTGGATGCCACACCCTTGCACGGACCAAGCGTAGTGTTTTGGTACGACATGGAAACAAATCAGAGATGAATAAATATGTAAAATACAATTAAAAAAAGCGTGGGTAAAAATCAACCAGGGCAACAACAATACCTCAGGAGGAGTTGAAAATACGTGCTGAGAGGTTGTACTACCTACAACCCGCCCCCGTGTAGTCACAACCCGCCCCCGTGCAGTCACGACCCGCCCCCGTGCAGTCACGACCCCGTCCGTAACGGCAACCCCAACGAACATTGCTTTTGGAGCAACCGACAGTTGGTTTCCCAATGCACGCACCTATTACCAACATCCGAGGATTGAGATTGACGGAATAATTGTGGGTCGAAAAGATGTATACTGATAATAAAATTGCATCCACACTAATACTTACAGGTACACAAGGTGCAGACCTACTACCCCCGGATGGAACATTTGAAGTATCACCCACATATTCGCGCACAATTGCATCCACCTCCTCCCAACATTGGGTAGGGAGATCTTGGGACAACCCACAACTGAACGAAGAAACGTCATCACATCCCTAATGAATGCAGAAAGAACAATAAAATGAGCATTGGGTGCATAACAAGTAGAATTTATGTGTGACAGACAAAAAATTACTACCCATTAGCAGTTAGTAAGGTTGGAACAACTGTTATACATCACATCTGCACCACATAGAAAGTATAGTACCATGCGAAACAACTAACATACCACAGTTAACAATCAACAAAAAAAAAAAAGGCAACTGGTAGGTGTAGCCACAAAAATAGTGTATACCATCAACATATAACCTACACCTGCTTAACTTTCCAGCGCTTGTACACAAGCATACTTACAGCAACTTGGGGTTCGACCACATGACCCCCCGATGACTCTTGCACAGACACCCGATCATGCTGTGGTAGCACACCCCCGACACCATCAATAATAGGCCCAACCTGCTCATCAACAACACATGGTCCCGTATGTGGAACTGCTGGGGGGTGGCTACCATCTTGTACCGCCCTAACCGCATCATCCACAACCTGAAAGCTCTCTGGGTTACTCCAAATCTCATCTCCACTATTCGGCGTGACACCGGCCGTATTTGCAACGCCAACTGGCTCTGTAGATGCATGGGTCTCAAACATAGAAATAATCTTTTGTGCACCGACTAATACACGCAAAACGCTATCTGTGCGTGTGGAGCATTGAGGGTGAACCCCAACAAATTGCACAACATCATCCAACACAGCGTCTAATGCGGACATCTTCACATCAAACAATTCCCCAGGGGCCTGAACAATTTCAACGGATTCAAGAATTATAAAATGGCCACAAAAATTTAAAAACAATTACAATACAAGCGCATTTGAAACGCAATAGCATGTTAAACACAACAACATTAATTACAACTTTTAAAAAAAGGAAAAAAGAAAAACGACTAGTGAAAAAGCAGTAAAAAATAAAAAGCATACCATGTACTAGCATAAATCAGCACGAACCAACACATTGAAATGCACATAATAATAAGCGTGTAACCATGAATCATATAAAACAAGGGGAGAAAAATATACACGACCACCGAAAGACAACAAGATAGTTGACTCTCTAATTCGCACACACCTAGCAACATATGTACGAAAATGGGAAGAATCACAAACAAAATATGGCAACACTGTACTCGAATCCTTAGGTCGCACACACTCAGTAACATATTGCATGCACCTATTAGGAATTAGAAGACAAAGAATAGCATAAAGAAAAAAGACCTGGAGGGCATCACGAGCAGAAACACGTGGAGCACTACGGACAACCGGGGGA